TTGTGTTTTCGTCGTTCGATTTTTATGTTTTTAAGTTGTTAAGTTTTAGTTTTAAAAACAAACTTTAAATGAGTAAATGGGACTCATTTCTTGACGAAAATTCGTGTTCTTTATGTCAAAGTGTTGGTAAAAATATTACCAAGAGTTTGGCACAAAAAGAATGAAGAAAAATGGTCAAGAAACGAGCAATTTTGAAGCTCGAAAAGCTTGAAAACGAGCAGCCATGGCTACTGTTTTCGTTGCTGATCTGTTTGGGCTGCTGGGCTACTGTTTTCGTTGCTGATCTGTTTGGGCTACTGATTTCATTGGTACCTTGGGCTGGGTCACGGGCCCGTTTAGTTTTAAAAAATGGAATAAGAGGGCATGGTGAGGGTGGGGACTCGAACCCACGACCTCAATCAAGTAGCCTCAAAGCATTAACCAACAAGCTAACTTTATATTCTGTAATTATTATTCGCTGTTATTATTAATATGCATTACATATTTAAGTTTCAAAAATTAGCATTTAGTCTCTTAAATTTCCAGAAATAATCATAATAATTTTATGAGACTTTCGTTAAGTTTGTTTAAAATGCAAACCTTGACCCCATTTCGATTATATATATCGTTTAGTTACCAAAATGACCCTACAATATGGAAATCGGTATTTTAGCGATACTTTACGTATTTGCTTCATAAATTACCGAAATGACCCTATGTCTTGGGGATTGGCCTATGAACTTCATTTTTATATTATTATTTTTATAAAATTACCAAAATGACCATATATTTGGAAATCGGTATTTTAGCAATACTTTACGTATTTGCTTTATAAAATTACCGAAATGACCCAATGTCTTGGGAATTGGTATCTCTAAGTGTTATTTTAAATCTAATCCCTATGAAATTACCAAAATGACCCTACAATGTGGAAATCGGTATTTTAGCGATACTTACGTATTTGCTTTATAAAATTACCGAAATGCCCCTATACTTGGAAAATTGGTATTCTCACATTATTTCGAGTATTAATTATGTTGAACTTTAAAGTTATGGAATGACCGTTATATTTATACGTGTGTGACATGTTGTCACCTTTATTTACTTGCAAATCTTAAACGAGACGTTTTGGTCACAAAACATTATTTACGTTGCGAACTATTTAGTTTAATTCTTTTGGTAAAATATTTATTATTCAAGAAAATGTGAAGTGTAGTACATATTTTTATAAAATATACAAGCAACAATTAATATTTAACGACGTCACATTATTAAAAATATTTCAAGAAAATATTGGAGTGAAACATGAGATATGATGTTATCGGGGGTTGATCAATAAAAGGAAAAGTCGTGTTAACTTAAGGAATAGTAATCAATTTAATTACGATTATTTAAGATGCTTAGGAATGATATAAATTATCATGTAGGTTGCCGTTTTTGAGAGAACGACCTATCGAACATTAACGATTCAAGGTGAGTACATTATGCGATTTTTATGGGATATATACATGATTATTATAAAAGTATTTTATCCATGATATATGCATGATATGTTTATATGTATATGATGATAACTTGATTACACTGATGTGCATGATATTTAAATATATGCATGATATGAAAGGTGATGTTGATGAAAAAGATTATGATGACTTGTTATTATCAATATGATATTCAAGTATGTGTATAATGTGAAAAGAATGACGATGATGCATATGTGATTTATGTTGTCACTTGCATGAGATGTATGTTGCATATCACGATGAGATTTGCATTAATGAATGAGTATTGCAAATAAATGATATGCAACTAGTATGATTCGGCAAGATTCGTCCACCGTACGGGGTGGGTTGGACATGAAAGGAGGGCTTGCAATTCCGAGGTCTTGGAGTCCTCGTCCATAGAATACGCCACATACGCAAAGAAAAGTGACGAGCCGAKGCCTCACTTGCAAGATAATAATTAAAATACACTAAAACACTGTATTATGTGTGCATGTGATCATGAAACCGTATTGTATTCACTAAGCTTTTTGCTTATACTATACATGYATATATCTCAGGTGTCATTTGTCAGTAGACGAGTGAATGAAGAAAGACGGGACTATGTTTTGAATCATGCTTGATTAGATATTTTAATTAGCATTGATTACGTTAAAGTATTTTCCGCTTCCGCAATTATGTAACGAATTATGTTAAACATATTATGTGTGTTTGAAATTTTAGATCCATATTTTTGTTCAACACATAAGTTATTAAGCATGACGTCACGGTATTCGAAAAAAAAAATGGGGACGTGACAGTGTCCTATAAACCTCTTTTTGTTGTAGTGACACATATTTAATGGCATGAAAATCATTTATATTAGGACAAAGGATATATACCGAATATTATTATATCTAATGTGTTCTCCTTTAAGCTTTAAAAACATTATTCAAGCTATTTACTAACCACTTTGATGGTGATTATATGAAATAATGAATCAAAACCGCCCACTATATATGCAATCAAATTCACAGCCAGCTTTGAGCAATTTGGAAGCTTAACAGAAGATAAAAATTTACCCTTACGATATCGTTTTGATGGACTAATATCTTACCCGATAAGCACTTGCTGGGTAAGTGTTTGGTAAACGGCCCCTAAGACTTTCCAAACAACAAAGAGGAACTAACTCGATTGCAAGCTAGCAATATACATCAGAACTTAAAGGTTACCTTGATTAGTGAAGCAACACCCTTAAAAGTCATCTCAAGTCGCCGCAGCTTCATCAGAGCAGTAAACCACAAAAAATAAGCTTCAAATTAAAAAACAAACAAGGATTTTACAGATCAAAAGACCAAATAAACAAAACAAAGAATGGTAAGTTACATAAGAAACCTCTTTCGATTTATAAAGGAAAATGAAGATACAAAAAGAGGCCAAGAAATCAGAACATACATCAAGAAGTAGAAATAGAGGCCAAACAAAGATGAAGTTTATAGCCATCAATAGATAACATGCAAAAATGTAGTTTATAGCCATCAAGTCTAAATATGACAAAAGTTAATGGGTAAATCCAGAAACATAAACCCAATAAAGATGGGATCAAGGAAAATTATAAGAAGAATCGAAAAAACTGAGAAAACCAAATTTCATCGGTTCATATATAAAAACTTACCTAGTAAACCAAACTGGATTCAAATATAAAACCTTACCTGGTCAAAAACAAAATTTAAACCAAAGAAAAAACCTAAACTAAATTAATATTTCAGATAACAAAGTAAACCTTACCCGGATTTGGATTTGATGGAGAATGCCTTCAACCAAAAATTAGAGTGATGAACAAAGCTTAGCATATGGTGAACGGAGCATGAATAAGTAAAGGAAAGCCCGAATTACCAAGATTGGAAAGGAATGGCATGGAACTTGGATTGGAACCGTGGATATTCCTACTCTCAAGATTGGAACGGAATGGAAACTCGATTTTTGGAATGGGATGGAACCTTGAAGGGTTAACCTTTTTCACATGTAAGTACTTGAAATTTTGGTGAACATTCGAGAATAGAAGAAACCAACTCCCACTTATCAATAATTCCTACTTCCAAATGGGTCAAATTATGAAGCATTAGCAGAGCATCAGAAACAACAGAGTACCAAATACCACAGTTTGTTAGTTGATAATAGTTAAATTATGAAATAATACTAAATAATTACCATGCCGGCTTTAGGGAACAATAGTAGATGTGGTACCATCTCCTGCTCCTCCTCTTGATACCTCGCCTACTCCATCTCCCAGGACGTAGGATTGGCCATATCTTCAACATGAAAAGAAAACGATAAGCGAGCACTTCACAATGAACAAGTTTATAATTGGGGTTCTTAATTCCTGGGTTCCAAAATCCTTTCACCCATGCCATCGTAGACAGGTAAATAGGGATAATTGATAATCTAATCAAACAAAACAATATTTTCAATCAACTTTTACCTTTTGATCTGAGTTTGGCCTGCTCAGAATCATCACCGTCTACTCCATCTCCATTCTTTTTATTCGATTTAGGCCTTGTGGCAACCCCAATATCTCCTCCATTAGATGAAGGTTTATTCCCTCCACCATCCTCAAGAACAACCCTAATCTCCTCAGTCCTCCTCAAATAATCAGTAAATTTCTGGGTAATTGCTTTCTTAAGCTTTGGATTCTTTTCATACTTCAAATGAGTTTTGAAGTATTCTAATGCATTCATATAGAGTGAAAAAGCTTTTGCATAATTACCAGTTGTATCTTCTTCAACTGCTTGCTTTACATACATAATTGCTTGTTCCTTAAAATTGATATACATCTTCTATTTATAAATAAATAGCCAAATACATATATATAAAAAAACCCAAATCCAAACCACAATCAAGAAAACCTAGTAATCTAATGCACAAAATCAAGAAGAAGAACAAAAAAAACTCAATTTTGTAGAACAGGAATCAAATCGTATCGTGAGTTAACAAGTTTGAACCCTAGAGAAATCAATGAGTTGATCCAATTGAGGATCGAGAAAACCCTGGTCGTGAATAGATCAAACAGTATTAACGCAATACTTACTTGGATTTTGTTCGATTGATCGATATACCTTCAAATTTTGGAAAAAAAATGGGTCAACGGAGGTTTGTGATCGTCATATGAACGATGTAGAATCGATGAAATTACACCTCATATGAGCGATGTGAATCGAATAAGAAGAAAATAGAGATGAAAGTCATGAAACCTTACTTGATATGAGTGATAATAGTATAATTATATGAGGAAGATATATTTGGATCATGACTCATTACACTGAGAGCTTGAATCGTCGTCTGGAGAAGATAAATTTGTGAATCGTCGTCTTGAGCATGGAAGCGTACGATGGGAAAGGACGTGCATCTAGTTTTGGGAAGGAGAAAGCTGACCGAAGCATTGATGCTTAAAAGAATTTTAGAATTGATGCTTAAAAGTGTTGTATTTGAAGCTTTGTTGGTTGTTTTTAGAACTTTAAGATTTTGTGCATTAAAAGGTAGTACCTTATGTATTTAAGGTTGTTTTTAAGACTTTTTTAAAATCTGCTTTATAAGGTAGATAAGGGTGTCTTGATCATTTAATATTTTAAGACTTTAACATTTTTACTAAATTTGCTTGATAAGGTAGTATAGATTTATTGTTGTTTTCTAATACCTAATTCATATTTATTATAAATCGTGTTTTAAAATGTGTTAATATATAATTTAAAGTATTCAAATTACTAAAAAAACAAAGAACAATTTATTTTAATTTTAATTTATGTCTATAACTTAATGAATCAATATAATTGACTTGATATGTTTTGTGACTTAATGGAAAAAAAAATATCAAACAACCCTTAAGCAATCTTATTTTAAAAATCCAATATTGTTATAAATCAAAAGCTCAAATCACCACACAATTGAGAAAACATTGTAAAACTTCTGTTAATTAAAAATCCTTAAAATAATAAAAAATCCATTTTATATTTACTAAAATCTTGTTTTTATATATAGTTGAATGAGATGAGATGAAAGGGTGGTTACAAATGGGTTCCTTATCCTCTTTGCCACCCAACAAAATAACAAGATTGGATTTTGAAGTCAATCTTTCTTCTTCTTCTTCTTCATCATCATCCATGGCAGAAGCCATTATGAGCTTCTCAATTCTCAAGCCTTGCATTCACCATAAGCCTTCTTTCCAAACAACAAGAAGATTATTGGATTTGAACCCATTATCAGTAAATCATTTTCTACTTCATTCTCTTGTATACAAATACATCCCAATGAACTCAAAATCATGTTTCTTTATTTCAGGTCAGCAAATTTTCAGGCTCAAGATTCACCAATGCCTTCCATTTGGTAACCATGCATCTTCCTGCAATTTCCAAGTTTTCGAGAAAAAGATGGAATTTTATGTTTTTGCAAGATTCATGGCCATTATAAGTTGTATGATATATAATTAATGGAAAAAGATTGAATTTTGACTACTCCCACCTTCTTGACTTTTCATGTTTTTGCAAGATTCCAAATTACACTAATCTTTTCTTTTCCAATTCATCAAAAAAAAAAAAAATCCTCATTTCGGGTGATTTTTGCTTTCTTTAAGAAAATCTAATTCATCTTCATATGATCATATATAGTATTCTACTGAAGACACCAAAAGGAGTAGATTGAATGCTATACCAGATTTGACTCTAATGGCAGTTCTAGTTGAGCATATGGAAGGCCAAAGAGATCTCATCACCCACAAATCCATATGGCATCTCAATGATCAAACCATCAAAAACATATGTAAGTCTTGCCACTTGAAGAAATTCAATCAAGTTAAGGAAATAAAAACTTAGGATATGATGGTGACAAAATAAGTTTTTAAAGAATAAAACTGTTTTTACAGGACATGAATTTATAAAGCCAATTTTGTTATAGTGTGGTCTATTTCATAGGACATGATTTCTTGGTTGTTTATGATGTTGGTTGTTGTAGATACTTTGTACATCATGTTCACGGTTTGGGGATGCTGTTTCTTTGGTGCGACAAAGGTGAGGAAATCGGAACCTTTAATTATTTCCCTATATATGCATGATATAGGACCGAGAATCTTTTTGATTGATATAGGGTGTAACCATGAAATGTTTTAGGATCCGTATTATGATTCCGAACAATATAGGAAAGATGGAGGAGATGGAACGGGGCATTGGGTGTACGAAAAGGTAACATCTATTTCCTTTCTTTTGGAACGTTGTTAAATTCAGCTTTTATGGTATGGATGAATATCATATCGTTTTTGGAAGGGGTGTGGGCTAGGCATACCATAGGGATCATTTACTAAAAAGTAATTGGATTGGGTAAAGGTTGTTGGGGATAAAATGCTCTGATCGGGTAAGTTTCTTTATTCTTATATGGTTAGCAGCATCTCCTTGAGCAACATATATTTGTTAGTCAGAAGGCGTTTATGAACAACATTATCTTTTATGGGATAAGCACAGCACTACTTAATTACCTAGTAAGAAAGAAGGTATGTAAACATCCCCATAGAAGAGGGGTTAGGGTGTAGGGATGAGAAAAGGGTTCCATTTGTTATAGAAATTTCATCCCTTGTAGGTTGGAACCATTGATCGAAGGAGGAAGCATTTGATATCCAAAATGTTGTTTATGTTTATGTTTATGTTTATGTTTTTGTTTATGATGAAACAGCAAGAGGATATCGAAGAAAAGGCACGAGCAGCATTGTGGCGTGAGGAGTTGATTGAGGAGATTGAGCAGAAGGTTGGAGGCCTACGTGAGCTGGAAGAAGCCAAAGAGGAGGAGCTTGTTTAAATATATATATATATATATATATATATATATATATATGTAGAAATCAAGATTATTCTTCAAGTTGAAACAAAAATTTAAAACGATATAAAATGGATAAATGATTATTAATTATTAACTATTAATTTTAGAGGTAGAACTATATAAGCACATGTATATGTATCATACATGAAAAACCAAGGATGGTTCATGAAACTTAATTAAGTTCTTGAAAAATTAATATAAAATTGTTTCACAAACAACACTTATCCCACAAGAATTGGATGCCTCCTGATTCATTACTACAAGTAAAGCATGCATCCTACTCGTCGCCAATTACATCATTTTCACGATTAATTTTCGATTCATGAGAACGACCCACCAGCACCATCTTAAACTGAAATTAACAAACCATCTAAGATCGTTCGTTCCACTTCTACAACGTTCAAAGTCCGGTTGACTATCATTCATGGATCCAAAAACTCATCTCCTTCCCGAAAAACATCTTTAACATACACTTGGATCCATATAGGGAAAAAAAACCCCGCAGAACCCTAGATAGAATCAAGAACATGATGCATGCTAAAGAAAAAGATAGAGAATAGTTACCAAAAGGAAAGAGAATATCCATTCAAAAACATTAATTATCCTATTATTTGCCAAACACGTAACTACCCTTTTCATTCAAAAACAAGAAAATAAAAATCTAAATGATGAATGGCCCATATTCGATTCTACGCATGTATATATAAGGTTGCATTTGAAATGTATCTCTCTCTTTCTCTCACACACACACATATATATATATATATATCTATATATATATATATATATATATATATCCTCTCCTCTTTCTGGTAGGTAATATACACATACATACATTCAAAATTACACATGTACACAAGGTGAACACAATGAAAACAATCTTGAGAAATTTAGTACTAGGATATTCAAAATATGTTCACAAACGATAGGTTTAGATTTAGTTTTGTTGTTTTAGTTGGTGTTGATAATATGTTTACAAGCTATAACAGATATCGTAGATTTAGAGTGTGTTTACAAATATAATAATATTTTTTAAAAAAGTGTTGACAATGTGTTTCCTTTTGTGCATATTTAATTGTGTGTATGTTATGGGAAGAGGAGATAGAACTTTGTTAAATTGGATTATATTTTATGTTTTAACTATGTTTTATGATTTAAATTGAATCTCACGGATTCTATGAATTAGGAAGTTCTTAAAAGAAGATATATATATATATATATATATATATATATATATATAGAGAGAGAGAGAGAGAGAGAGATTCAAACGAGAACATAAACGAAATAAGAGAACACGAAAGCCACCAAATCACATTACATGTTGTCTTATAATAATGGTCAACACAAAGGTGTGTGGACGACCTGGTGAAGTCGCAGCCAAAGACGCATGAATCTCATGTGATTTTAGTATAAAATAGCGTATGATTTAGCCATTTTCGTGTTATTTGATTTGATTATTATTCTCATTTGAACCTGAATATATATATATATATATATATATATATATATATATATATATATTGATATGATTAGATATGAAGACGAATGATTTTTTCATCATAATCCAACCCTAGAGATGAATAGCTTATATATTGCATAAGCCTAAAAAGATAATAATGAACGGGGGAGGCTAATGGCACCCCTAGCCATTGCCATTGGCACCCCTAGTTAGGTTTTAAATAATTAGTTTTATGAGTTTTTGTGTTTTTTTTGTCTTTTTGTTATTATTAGTTTTTATTTTATTATTATTTAAAGGAAATTATTAATTAATATATATTATTTATTTTGTTTTTTGTTTTTTATTTATTTATATTATATTTTAATTAATATAAATTATTAATAAATATATATTATTTAT